CGTAGTTTTTATTGTAAATAAATATACTATAGTAGTTATTCCTTAGTTTAATAAAAGTTTTTTTGTGCATATTTCACTTTTTTTATGCCCCAAAAAAGTAAACTATACAAATATCATAAACACCACAATAATATACCAATAAATTTGTTAATCACATTATATTTCACCTTTTAATCTCTATTTAATCTATTTTTAATCGATTTTTTTTTTTTAAAAATATAACAAAATTTCTATATTTAAATTTTTTTTATAGTTACTTTTCACTTCTTTATAATTTTTTTTATCTTTTGATTGTTAATAGTTATAAAAAATAATAGAATTGTAATTAAAAATAATTTAATTAATTTATTTGGATTAAATATTAGATCTTATTTTATTCATTGGGGATACATGTGTATAGTCATTTTTTTGTTTTTATTGGTTAATCCACTGTTATAACTACAACAACACAAAAACAGTTTTAATCTTTATCTTTTTTTTTAAAACATTATAACATTTTTGGAATGAACTTAATAGTTAAAGGATTTGTGGGTGTGTTTAATTAATCATATTTTTACATTTTTTTATTTTATAAATTAAATAATAATAATAATAATAATAGGAATAATAATAAAAATAATAATAAATAATTTATTGACTGTTATAAATTTTTAGTTTGACCACAAAATTTAAACTAACGCATACCCTAACATCCCATTATTCAATATAACAACATAAATTTTATCCCAACACACTTAAACAATTTCATTTTCAAGTTAGTTTTGTTTTTTTTTAAATACATTTTTTTTTTTATATATATAGTATCCGATAAAACTCAAGATTGTTATTATTCATAATTATTTTAAAATTGTTTTTACATTTTGGATTATGTGGGTTATTCTTTATTAAATATACAAAAACCCCACACATTCATTTTTGCCATGTTTTTTAATTTTTATATCCATTGTTTCTATTAGATCCAATAATTTTTAAAATGTTTTTTTTTTTTTTTTAAAATTTTTTTTTCACAATTATAATTTTATAAAATTATTTTAAAATTAAAGTTTAATTTTTTATTATAAAACTTTTATTATAATTATTCTCTATCATTTTTTACTTCACCCACCCATACACACATTCCTTTATTTTTTTAAACATTTAATTCAATTAAAAACAATAACAAATAATTTTTTTTTTTTTTTTCAATTTTATAAAAATATACTTCATCATTTCTTCATAATACTTACATAGCTATTTATTTATTTATTAATTTATTTATTTATTATATTTATTTTTTATTTATTAAATAGAATTTGATTGTATATAAAATCGAAAGGTTTCAAGAGAAGAAAAAAAGTTTTTAAAGGGGGTTGCAAATAATTATAGTTTTTAAATATAAAAAAGAAAAAGAAAAAATATAAAATAATGAATGATGTTTTAGAAAGTTATAAATTTTTAAATGCAGAAACAATAGATTATCAAGTATTAACACCAGATTTTGTAAAGAGGAAGGTTATTCAAGATGGGGTACCAATTGTGATTACTAATACAACAAAGGATTGGAAAACAGATATATTTACACCACAATGGATTAAAGAAAAGTATAGTAGTTTAGAAATAACAGTTAGAATTGATGGCGATTCAAAAAATACCGAACATTGGACCGTTGGTCAATATATAGATTATTTAAATAAAATGTCTTCAACCCAAAATAGTAATAATACAAATAATACTGAAATATTTAATAATAATAATAATAACAATAGCAACATTAATAACAATAACTCCCCTAATTTATATAGCAGTAGTAACAATTCTCCATTATTATACAATAATAATAGTCAATTTCCCACAATCGAATCAAATGTTTACTATAAACAGTTATAATAATACCAACAACACTAATAATAATAATAATAATAGTAATAACAATAATAATATTAATAGTCAATTCCCACAACAAATAAACCAAAATTTTAATATAGCAAGTTATAATAACAATAATGGTCAAAATTTTAACCAGCACCAAAATTTACATTCAAATCAACAACACCAGCAACAATCAGGTAATCAACAAAACTATACTATTCCATCATCGTTTTATTATAGAAAAGATATACCATGTCCTCCAGAATGGACAAAATATATTGAACAGTTTAACAAACTGTATGGTTTTTTAAGGGAGAAAGATATTGGTGATTTAACATGCGATTTACCAATACATTTACAACCAAACTCAACTCATATTTGTATTGATGGTTCAGATTATTGGTCACCTGGCCAAAGAGAAGTTGCTGGTTCAATTGGTTATAATTTAATGGTTTACAATGGAGGTGCAAGTAAAACATATTGGTTTTGCACCTCATCAAAATCTTTTGATGAAGCATCAAAGTTTTGGAGAAATAAAACCGGTGTTCCTGTGGACAACGACTCAAAGCAGATGTTTATCAGATTAGATGACCTTTCTAAAGCCAACTTTCCAGTTTATTTTATGGAGCAAAAACAGGGCGACCTTGTTATCATTCCACCAGGTTCGATATATCAATATTTTAATGTTGGTGGTAAAAGTATGAAGTTATCTTGGAACAGAATGGCATATCAAAATTTAGAACTATCCTATAGAAATATCTTACCAATTTATAGATCCATAAAAAAGAAAGAACACTTTCCTGTTAAATCAATTGCATTCCATGCATTATTAAATCGATTGTCGTTGGCTGATGAATGTATAAAGACCCAATCACCACAAGTGGCGTTAAATGAAGAAGTAGCAAAAGAAATTTTTACTCTTTTAAAAATTGTCAAAGATATCCAATGGTCCGAAAAAGTAGATCTTACTGTAATGTCCGAAGAAAGAAATGCAACAGAAGAGAAAGTAGAACGTTATACGGATAATCAATACAAGAAAATTTGTATCTATTGTAATGGCTTTATTTTTAATCGAGCATATCTTTGTAGTGAATGCCAGAAAGAGAAATCCCCAAATATGTCGTTAGTCTGTATCCAGTGTATTTCGGAAGGTGCGTGTAAACATAAAAATCAAACTCTTTTAGAAACAATACCTTGTAATTCTATGGAGTCAATCATTGAAAATGCCAAAAAAATTCTTCAATCACTTTGTGCTCTTATAGAAAGATTGGGTTCATATCCACCTTTCAATCTAGATGAGGTTTTATCACCAAGTGTTTCCGCTAACCCAAACCAAGTTTCTCCGGGAACAATTGCTTTTAACCAGGTAATTCTTTTTCAAGAAGATCAAAAGGCTACTTGTCACCAATGTAAATTAGCTCGACCAAGAAACAAAATTGCATATTGTCACAAAAAAGTTGAAGAACATGGTAAAAAAAGAAAAAATAGGAAAATGAAATGCCAAAAAAAATTTTGTTCTCAATGTCTTTGGAATAGATACCAAGTTCAATTGGTTGAATGTTTGTCTCAAAGAAAATGGGAATGTTTATTTTGTTTAAATAAATGTAATTGCTCTGCATGTAATAGGAAAAGGTCTTCTGATAATAATAATAATAATAATAATACAGTTCCAAAAGAAAATGATAATACTACCACCACAACAACATCAACTTTATCACCAAATATATCAAAATCAAATAACAATTTAAATAGTAATTCAACTACTCCTGGTTCACCAAATAGTGGTCAAAATACTCCACAAACAAAATCACCATCAAAAATGTCACCTTATATATCTTCTACTAATAATAATAGTAGACATCATCCTTACTACCAACTAAATCCACAGAATGAACAATCAACAATGTTTATAAATTATAATCCAGCGGCAATTAAAAACGAAAAATCAAATAAAAACTCTAATAATGTAAATAGTAACAATAATAATAACAATAATAATAATAAAAATAATAACAACAATAACAACAATAATAACATCAACAACAATAATAATAACAGTAACAATAGTAGTAGTATTAACAATACCAATAACAACAATACCAATAATAACTCTAATAATGGTAACAGTATGAATAATGGTTATGAATATTACTACTACCCAAATCAACATAAACAATCAGCTCCATATAGCTATAATCCTCATGGGATACCAAATCCATACGAACATCCATCAAATATCTATGAACAAAATTATTATCTACACCCACCTGTACATTTTCAACAAGTGTATCCACACATTCAATATCAAATGAACCCAAATTATATTCAGTATCCCTACTATCCACAAGATTTTCAACAGCAACAACATCAACATCAACATCAACAGCAACAGCAACAACATCAACAACATCAACAACATCAACAACATCAACAACATCAACAACATCAACAACATCAACAACAACAACAAGTTTACCCAAATCAACCATCCCCATCAAACTCACCATCCCAATCACAATCTCAGGTCAATCCACACCAGCAACCATCCAATATTTACCAACAAAATTCACACTCTTTAAAGCAACTACCGCAACAACTTCCAAACCATAATGTTAAACAAGAACCAAATAATTTAAATCAATATCAAAATCAAAATGTTCCTGACTATAACATTAAACAAGAGTTACAATCATCTCAAAATACCAATTTAGAATATAGTATAAAACAAGAAAAAAATAATTCGAATATCATTAACAATATGGATAATACAAATAACAATTTGAATAACTTTAATAATAACTATAGCGCAAATAATTTTATAAATAATAATAACAATAATGGAAATAATAATTTGCAATTTAATTCAAACAATAATACACCAACTGAATTTGTAAGTGGCAACCATCCTTTTAGTGAACAATCATCTCATGATCAATTTATAAACTCTGATACTAATACCACTTATATTCTTAACAAAAATAAAAATGAAACCAAAGCAATACAATTGGAACAACCACAACAGCAACTACAACGCCAACAGCCAAGTCAATCTCAATTAGGGAATCAAACAATTTATAGAAATAATAAAGAACAAAACCAATTAATCCCAAAAACAAACACATCTCATCAAATTATAAGTTTAACAAATCATAACGAAAATAACCACAGCAACTCACCATTTATTGAAAAAAAGAAACCTACTACTTTTGATTCACCAAGTTTTGGATCCCCAAACCATATGCTTTTTGTAGATTATTTTAACTCAGTAGAGCCACACTCCGATTCAATTGATGGAACTATAAATTTATAATCACCTTCGCTTACCCAACATATATATATTGAATATTTAATTCTCTGTTTTTCAATTATTTTTATATATTTTTTAGAAAAATATAAAAAAAACAACAGAAAAAAAAAATAAAAATAAAAATAAAAATACCAAAAAAACAAAACTATAATGTATTCAATAAATTTTTTAAAAAAATATAAAATAAAATATTATTCCAAAATATAAAAAAAAACTTATAAAATAAAATTATATTAGGTATCCCAGATTATAGATAAGATAAATACCAACACTTTATAAACTTTAGAACAATACAAAATTTGCGATAAACAAAAATATTGTTCCAGAAATCAATACTATTACTTTAAAAAGGAAAAAACATTTATCTCGAAATATAAAAAACAATATTGCAATATATTAGATCTATTAATTTTTAATTAAGTTTATTTATTTATTTTTGCATAATTTGTGAATTTAGAACAAATATTAAAAAGATAATATAACCAAATTCTTTTTAATAAACTATCTTTTTAGCATCTGTATATTGGGGTAACCAAGCCTAGATTTGCAGAGTTTGATTCTTTAGTTGAAAACACTTTTGTTCTACATGTATTTGTTGTTTTTGATTTTTTAACTTTTAAATCTTTTGGTTCTTTTGGTTCCTTTTGTTTTCTGCATCTTGTTTTTCGTAGTTGGGTCAAACCTTCCTTTTTAATGAATGCAACATTTTCCGAATTCAGAATACATTTTGGGTTGCTTCTTCTTCTATTGTTGGTAAACCATGTTTGTAAACGTTGAAGAGTACAGCCAATTTGGTTAGCCAGTTGAATCTTTTCAGCCGGGGTTGGGTATGGATAGTCTATATGCTTTTCTAACCAGTCTCTAAGTACAGCGCTATCAATCTTGTTTCTTTTTTTCTGGCAACCTTGTAGAATTTTAATATACTTACTGGTAAATTTGGATAGTTGTAAAGATATATTATAAACTTTTTCTGATGCTTCTTTAATTGATGATTCAAACTCTTCTGAAATATAAACCTGATAGGTTTCACTTTCAACTAACAAATGATTTTGAAATTTACCACCTATATTAAAATTAAATAAACCACTTTCATTATTATTATTGATATTTATATTGTATTCTTCCTCTTCCTCCTCTTCTTCTTCCTCCTCTTCCTCATCATCATTCTCTTTTTCCTCTTCTATCTGTGTATCTCCTTCTTCCTCTTTATCTTTTAAAAAACTTTCAAGGCCAAATGTATTTGCAATAACTCCATCCTCATCATCTTCAAAATATAATGAGCTAAAATTTTCTATAGTATTGTTTTTGACATTATGATTATTATTACTGTTTTCATTATTGATTCTATTAATATTATTGTTATTATTAACACTATTAATACAATCGTTATTTAATGTAATTTCTGTTTCTAGTTTGACTCTATAAACTTCAGAGCACCCACCGTTATTTTTATTGTTAGTTGTAGTGAAACTATAAAGATTTGATTCTATGGTGGTGTTATTGTTGACTGAATTGTTGTCTAAATCATCGACAATATGATAAAAAAGTGGATAATTATTATTATTATTATTATTGTTATTATTGTTATTATTATTATTATTATTAGCTATAATGGTATTACTATAACTATTGTTATTGCTACTATAAAATTGATAATATTCATAATTGTGATTGTAATCCTGATTACTAATGTTATTATTGTGGACTGCGCCATTAAAATAATTTTGTTCATTATAATTATAATGATTTAAATCATTAGATACGCATCCATGGGTTGTTATATATCCGTTGCTATTATTATTACTATTATTGTTATTACTTTTATTAATGTTATAATTAAAAAAATCAAACTCCATTCTCTTCTTTAAAAAAAAAATTTTAAGTTAATAAAAAAAAATAAAATAATACTTTTATATTATACATACATTTATTTATTTCCTATTATTACAAATTAAATATATAAAATAAAAAAAAAAATATGGAATTATATTTTTTTTTAAAAAAAAATACTGACAAATGTGAAATATTATTTATTTTAATTTGGTATGTTTGTGATTAAATATTTTGAGATTTTATTTTTTCTAATTTTTTTTAATTTTTTTGAGGTTTTTTTTTTTTAGAAATATAGAAAATACCCACATATTGAAACATATATATATAGAATGTGTTATTTACAAGATTAGCCAAAACTTAAAATTAAAAAATATGTTTAAAAATTTAATAATAGGATTGTTTTTAATTATGATTATTATTTTTTAAAAATATATTTATATATTTATTTTACATTTTTAATTTTTTTGAAGATTTTATTAATAAAAACAAAAAAAATGAGTTTCAATACTAATAAATTTATTTCATATTAAATTTTTTGGTGAAAAAATAATTTTATTTATATAAAAGGAAAATTTCTAATAAGAAAAATTGAAATATGATATAATAATTATTTTTATTGGAAAAATTAAATTCAAAAAAAAAAATAAAAAAATATTTTAAAATTCAAAATTTTTTTTTTTTTTTTTTATAAAAAAAGATATTTATTTTATAATAGATTATCTGTATATAAATACACACAAAATAAAATGGATACAAACAATAATAATAATAGTACATCAAGAAAGTCATCTGACTTGAGTCAAATGATTGACCCTGAATATTTCAGGAATAAAAACCCTAATAACATTACAGATATAAATAATAGCAACAATGATAATCAAACTATTGATAATAATAACAATAAAAATGATGATCAAAATATTAATAACAATAGCAAAAAAACAGTTAGATTTACAAACAAAATAGAATTTGTAGAACCTTCACCACCAGCATCAGTTAGCAGCCAAGGTAGTAATTGTCCCTTAACCCCGGATATCAATAGCTTACAGAGTATTACAGAAAATGAAATAATTTTTGATGCATTTCAAGGTGAAATCCCAAATTCATTTATGCTTTCAATTGGATCCGATGGTTCGCAACAAATCATTTTCTCGGAACACAATGATGAATTAGATAATTTTTTAAATTTGTCTCAGCAAAATGAAGAAAACTCACAACCTGTAAATAATAATAATAACAATAATAATAACAATAATAACAATAGCAACACAATTGATATTTTTAGTCTCAGAGATGATGAGTACTATCAAAGTATTTCATTACCAATTTGGGATGCAGTTACATCACAAGATCCAAAAATGGTAATGAAATTTGGAAAAATTAAAAGAAAAAGAGGTGTTTCCGTATCAAATAAAAAGAAGAAGATGCCAGATATTACAATTGACGATTTAATGAAATGTGACCTCCTTAGAATTGGTGATATTTTAACCTATACTATTGGTGGTGGAATCCATAAAGGAATACTGTTAAGAGAGGGCTATATAGAATATGGTGGTTTAAGAATTCCTTCTGTTCATCAATTTATTATTTATGTATTATCAAATTTAACACCAAATACCAAATATCATTGGTTTTCTCCTTGGGATTCAATTTTTATAAGAGGCAAATCTTTAAATTATATTCGTTCAATTTTCGAATCTAAATTTTATAAAGGAAAAGACAACATAATTTATCAATATCAGCCAATTATCAAAAAACCCCAATCTCCCCAAAAACAACAAGATGAAAAAAGAAAATCCCCAACCTCATCACCACAAAAACAACAATCTTCGCCACAAAAACAACAATCTTCACCACAAAAACAATCCTCACAAGCCAGCCCACCAAAAACATTATCACAACAAAACACAACTCCACAACAATATTCACAAACTAATTCATCTCCAAAACAAACCCTTCAAACCTCATCCCCACAACATTCACAAACTAGCCTATCTCCAAAACCACAATCCCAACAAAACACATTATCACCAACACCTTCACCACAAAAACAAATAAACAAGAGAACCCTGGAAGAAAGCAACTCGATTGATATTAACAATAATAATTTGATAGATGATTTTATTAACAATATACCATCACCCAAAAAGCAATCCCAAGATAAACAACAGTCACAAGATAAACAACAGTCACAAGATAAACAACAGTCACAAGATAAACAACAGTCACAAGACAAACAACTATCCCAACAAAAATCACAAGAAGAAAGGGAAGTTAAAAAGCAAAAAATCGAGACCAGTTCACCAATGATAATCGATGATGAAGCTACCCAACCAGCTATTGATGACGAGGCCACTCAATCTGCAAGCATAGACGAAAATAAATATGGTGGTCATGATTGTCAAGAAATGGATGATGATTCAACTCTTAAGCCAACATTACAAAATAATGATACAGAGAATGAACCAACTGTTAGAATGAATACTGTAGAGTTTGCTGCCGTTCGTTTAAATTTTAACAACAACAACAATAATAATGAATCTCAAGATGAAAATGCAACTTTAGCAAACTCAAATTCAAACTTACCAAAAATATATACTACTCCATCATCACCATCCAAACAACAAGTATCTTCACAACAAAAGAATTTCCTTACTCCAAAAACACCAGCTCCATCACCATCTTCATCTCAAGATGCTCATAACAGAACTACACTTGAACAACCTTCATCACCATATAGATCACCCTCTAAAAATCAAACACCAAATACCTCTCAGCAACCTAATGAAATTTTGCAACAAAAGAAAACCTCACCATCACCATCTATCCAACTTTACCAACCTCAATTTCATACTCCATCACCATTAATTTCAAATATACAATCAAGTCCAATTCGTTCATCACCATCACCATCACCATCCTCATCTTCCTCATCCTTATCCTCGCAACTATCAAACCACTCACAATCATCAAATAGCCCTTCTTTACAGTCACATTCTTCACAAACTTCAAACCACTCTACTTCATCACATGGATCTAAATTACAAAGCCAAGTTTTATCAGAACAAAAAGATGATTTATCTTTTCCACCTTCACAAAAAACCAATAGCCAACCACTATCACAACTTTTACAAAATCATTTTACTCAATTTAATAACAGCAATGATAATGGACTATTAGATAGTGGTGTTAGCTTAAACAGTAACAACAATACACAATCAAGTAGCTTATCAATTCAAATGCCATACATACCAATTAGTGATTCACAGCTTCAAAACTTTACTCAAATTACACCAGCCCAACATGTTAGCAACTCTATATCAATGTCATCAATTAGGGAACCAGTTATTTTAGGCACAGGTTTAACCAAACTTATGCAAGTTCATATATATTCACTTGTTTCGGCTATTGGAGGAAAAGTTGTAAATCAATTTAACGATGAAGTTACCCATATCGTTTGCTCCACTGAAACTGATAGCAAAATTACTTCAAGAACCATTAAATATCAATTAGGTATTAGTAAAGGTGGTCTTTGGATAGTTTCATTTGACTGGATTCTTCAATCATTAAATGAAAATCGTTGGGTAGCCGAACCAGATTTTGAAATTGAAGGGGATAATGTAGAAGTAGGTTCACCATTTAAATCAAGAAACCAAGTATTTGAAACCAAGAGATTATTTTATGGTCAAAGTTTTTATTTAGCTGGTCAATTCGAATCACCATCAAGAGATGAAGTAGCAGCAATCATTAAAACTGGGGGAGGAATCATTTTAAGCGAATTACCACCAAAACCTCAAAATCTAAAAGAAATGTTAAATTCAAAATGTACAGTACTATGCCATCCATCATTAATTGACGATAACTCTATAAATACAATTTATTTAGAAACTAAACACTTACCAATTTCTTTTAAATGGGTATTCGATTGCGTTTCACATTATGATATTCTTCCTAAAGATGATTTTATTCAGTTCCCAAAATCACTGGGTAAATTTGTTATTAATAGTCAACCTTCAATGGCCTTTTAAAATATTTCAATAATAAAAAAAGTTTTTAAATAAACAAATAAAAAATAGATAAAATAAATATTTAATTTTTTTTTTTTTTTTTTTTTTTTTTTTATAAAAGATATTTATTTTTAAAAGCAAAGCTATGCACATTAAAATTAACCATCTTTTTTATGCTGTCCAAACTTTTAAGGTTGAAGAGCCAATGTTTGTAACATTTAGACGAGAACCACCAAAAGATCTACTAAAGGTTGCTTTGTCATGAACGTCATTCTAAAAAAATATAAAAAAAAATTAATTAATATAAATAAAAACTACATATTCTTTATATTATTATATAATTTTAAACTCTTACATCTATTTAGTAAAAAAAAAAAAAAAAAAAAAGTTTTATTTTAGAAAATATTCTGTATAAAATATTTTAATAGATATATAAAGTATAAATACCTTCGTCGGGTGATGCACCAGCTTGCATTCTAACACGGCCATTACCACCACCTTCTACCTCAACATGAACAGTAGTTGAACGTGGCCAAGCCCAAGTTGGGATTCTACATAAAAAAAAAATGTTAACATTTTACCCATTACCTATATATTTCCAAAAAAAAAAAAAAAAAAACACTTACCCTCCGTGGTTATCTCCTGGTTTAATAGTCCATGGTCTGTAAAAATAAAAAACATTAGTTTATTGTTATGGTGTAATTTTAAAATTAAACAATAACTACCCTGCCATTTTTATTATATTTCTTTGAGTTTTATTTAATAAAAGTTAAATGAAAAATATATTTTAGAATAAATATTATAATTTTATAATATTTAATATTTGTTTATTTAATTGTATAAAAAAAGTAAAATAAAAAATTTTTAAATAGTTTTTTTCCCTTTACAAAACTAATTATTTTTTCTTAATTATTAATTTATCTAATAATTAATATATTTTTTCAATAATTATCTAATTATTTGAATAAAAAAACAAAAAATATTTTGTAAAAAAAGTAATTTTATAATCTGCTATATTAAATATCCCATTTGGGAATACAATTCTAAAACTTTTGTAAAAAGTATTAAAATACTCCTATTATACTAAAAAGTGAAATTTTATAGCTACTAATGAAATCTTTAATAAATATTTAATATATACATATTACCCGACGTATAATTTTCACATTTAACCCATTTAAAATAACAGATCATTATTTTAAAAATTTTGTTTACCAATTCTTTAAATCCAAAAATAGGAAGAGTATAAAATGATTGATATTAAATAACTACTAATTATTATTAACAATTTATTAATTGTTATTTAATATATTAAATCAATCTTTATTAAGAGTTTTGGGGTTATGGTAAATGGGGGGGATTTTTTACCTTTAAAACAATTTTTTTTAATTTTTTTTATCTTTTAAATATATTTTTTGTGTTAAAATAATTAGACTCAATGCAATGAATTTCACAAATCTTAAGGGGCAAGAGAATGGTACTTAATATTAATGTAGATTAAGCTCTGGTAGGATATGTTTGGTACAAACAAATATTTTAATATAAAAGCTATATAATATAATTTATAAGAATTTCTGCTCCCACCCTCAAATATTAATGTGAACTAAATAGAGTTCATTTTACCAAAGAAATATAAATAAAAAAAAAGTTTTTTTTTTTATACTTGGTTATAGTAATTGAGTAGTGTTGGAATGATTTATTTTGGCGAAGGGTTATTTGTGGTTGAGGTTAAGTTATTACAGCAGCTATTATTTTATAATCATAAAAAATTAGATTTAAATAATTATAAGTTTTGGATTTTAAATTACATTTATTTTTTTTATTCTATCTTAATTAAATTATAAAGAAATTTTTATTTCTGATATTTAATAACATTTAGATAAATAATACTATCCATTCGTTTTTTAAAAAAAAAAACTAATTTATTTTTTTTTTAATTTTTAATTTTTTTTTTTTTTTTAAAAATATTTTTTTTTTTTATTTTTTTAAAAACGAAATAATTAAATTTATAACATTAATAAAAATGACACAAAAAAGAAAGAATATAACTAAAGAAGAACCAAAAGAAGATCCAAGATTTTCAAAGAAATTTGATGATGATATAGTTGATTCTAGATTCTCAAAGAAATTTGAAGATGATGAAGATGATGATATTCAAGAATTTGATGAAGAAAATGATGATAATGAAGAATCTGAAAATGGCGATTACCAAGATAATGACGATGATAACGACGATGACGATGAAGACAGTGAAGACAATGAAGATGGTGAAGATATAGATGATGAAGATATAGAGGATAATGAAAATGGTGAAGAATCAATTAATAAAAAAGAAAAAAAAATTGTAATTAAACCAATGGATGAAGAAAAAATTAGAAAATTAGCACAAGAGAATGAAAATAAAGGTATTGTTTATTTAGCAAGTATTCCACCAAGAATGAAACCAGCCAAATTAAAACAACTTTTAGTAAAGCATGGAAAAGTAAATAGAATGTATTTAGTTCGTGCCAATGTAGATAGAAAGAATCACAGAAATGATATGTTTAAAGAGGGTTGGGTCGAATTTAATGATAAAAAAACAGCACGTAAAACAGCAACTATTTTAAACAATCAAGCAATGGGTGGAAAATCAAGAGATATTCATAAAGATTGTCTTTGGAATTTAAGATATTTACCAAAATTCAAATGGCATCATTTACAAGATAAATTAATTTCACAAAGAATGGAACGTGATAAGAAACTTAAATTGGAAATCTCTCAAGTTCGTAAACAAAACATGGCTCTCCTCGAACAAGTCGAAAAATCAAAACATATCAAACAAAAACTCGCATCCAAAAATAAAGCTCCAAAAGAAAAAGTGGTTCGTACATTTAAACAAAGAGAAATTCATGAAGATAAAGCCGCTAATCTTTCTTCAAATGTTTTAAATAAAATGGTAACAAATAAAAAACAAAAAATAAATAATTAAAAATAATTTTATATAAATAAAAATATACATATAATATAACAAAAATAGAAGTAAATTATTTTGCGCAAAAAAATAAGAAAACTATTATTTATTTTTATTTTTTATAAAAATTTAATTGATTGTTGATTGTATTGGTCATATATATATTTTTTTAATCTAATAATCAAATCATAACATATTTAAATTAAAATAAAATATAGTAAAAAAAAAATAAAAAAATAAAATTTATTATTTATAATTATTTTTTTTATTTTTATTTTTTATTTTTATTTTTATTTTCATTTTTATTTTTCATTTATTTTATTTTTAGTTTTGTTTTTTGCATTTAATTAGTGTTTTTTTATTTTTATACTTTAAAAAATTTCAAAGTATAAAATCGGTAGACGTGGTACCTTCAACTTATCAATTTTTTTTTTTCTATTTTTTTTATTATTTTCAAAATTTATAAAAATAAAATTTTTATTTTTTAAAAAAATATTTAAAAAAAATATTTTTTTTTGCAAATATATCAAAAATAATAATTTATATATACCTTCTAATATTAATAACTATTTGTAAAAACAAATAAATAATATTTCCCAACCCCTAAATTTATTTTTATTTTTTATTTTAATTTTCACATTTATTTTTAAACACACATAAAAACTATTTTTATATTTTCACACTTTTTTCTTTTTTTTATTTTAATTTTGTGTCATATAAATAAACTATTTTTTTTTTTTTTTTGTAATTATAATAAATATATACAACTAAAATGAAATTAGTCGCAATGGTTTTAGCAAAGAGAAAGGGTGATCTTATTGAGATTGCTGCTGATTTAGGTCAGTTTGGATTTTTTGAGAGAGGAACGTAAGTAAAAAACATTATAAAAATATAGTAATTATTTATAACAGTAACTAATCATTTATAAATTATCTAGAATTAAAGAAGTAATTGTTGCAACCAGTAAAATTTTTATAAACCAATTTGATGTAAATACAAGAACAGCTGTCCCATATGAAGATTATATTTGTATTATAGATGTTAGAAGTGATTTTGGGTATGTTAATATATAATAAAATATAATATAATAATAATATAATAATATATAATATATAATGATAATATATAATAATAATAATATGAAAATAATATTGACACATTCGAACCATAATAAACTAACCATAAAATTTAAATAATACTTTTTCAGTGGTGTTGTATTTACAGATAAAGAATATCCAGAAAGAGTTGCTGTTAAAGCATTAGGTGAAATGATGGGTGATTATGTTAAAAAAACTCAAGGTATTGCTGGTGCACCCTTCCCTGAATTAACCTATATTTTACAAAAATACCAAGACCCTAAAGGTCACGATAAAATTTTAGATGTTCAAAACCAAGTAAATGAAATTATACCAATTATGCATAAAAATATAGATGTAGCTTTAGGAAATACACAAAAAATGGAAACTTTATTAGAACAGTCAAATGATTTAAGCAGTAGAAGTAAATTATTTTTGAAACAAGCGAAAAAAGCAAATCGTAGGTGCTGTATTATTCAATAAAACCAATATGGGCTCTATAGATAATAATAAAAAAAAAAACCAATCCAAAAATATAACCTTTTAATCATATAATAAATAAATAAAAAGTAGTGCACTTTTTTTTTTTAAAATAATTTTTCATCCTCAAATTATAACGGTCATATAAATATATTCCAGAACCTTTTTTTATTTTTTTTTGATATTTATTTTTTATTTGAAAATTTTCGAATTTTCCAAATATTAATTGGGTGTTTCTTAGTCGGAAATTAAAAAAGTAGATATTAACATAATCTATAAATCAGAATTCTCGGAATTAAAGATATTAATTCTGTAATTAACAATAATTCTATAAATTATAAAAAAAATAATCATTCTAATTAAAACAATTTTATTAACATTTTAAAAATTTATCCTATTTATTTATTAATAATTTAATATTACAATTAACTTTAGCAATGTCAATTTTAGTTACTGGTGCCTCGGGCAAATTTGGTACAATTTCTATTAATTTATTATTAGAAAAAGGAGTAGAAAAAAATAAAATAATAGCCCTTGGTAGAGACGAATCAAAACTTGAACAATTTAAAGAAAAGGGTATCCAAACTAGAAAAGCAGATTATAACAACTACGAAGAACTATTGTCAGCTTTTAAAGGTGTAGAAAAACTCTTATTTGTTTCCTCAAATGAAGTTGAAATTCGTACAAAACAACACCAAGATGTAGTAAAAGCCGCTAAAGAAGCAGGAGTTAAATATATAGCATATACAAGTATGATAAGAAAAACTGGGGATGGCTCCTCACCAGTAGCTTTTGTAGAAACCGCCCACATCGAAACAGAAAAGTTCATCAAGGAATCTGGAATTCCATATGCAATTCTAAAGAATGCTCTCTATACTGACACTTTAACAGAATACTTTTTTGGTCCGGATACACTTACAAATGGTATCTTTTTCCCACTTGAACAAGGCTCCTCAAACTATGCGACCAGAAGAGATTTAGCTGAAGCCACTATTAATGTAATTTTATCAAGTGACCAACATCAAAATAAAGAATATACTTTAACTGGTAGAGATTCTCCTACTTTAAACGATGCTATCAAAGTGCTCTCTGAAATTGCCGGTAAAGAATTGCCCTATGTTAGTCCAGATATTGACACCTACAAAAAAACTGTTGCTGGTTTTGGAACTCCAACACATTATATTAATTTTTTAGTTGCCTTTGCTCTTGCTATTAAAGCAGGTGAGTTTTCCACTGACCAATCTGACCTACCCAAACTTTTAGGTAAAGAACAACAATCTTTAGAGAACTATTTAATCGAATTTTATAAAAAAAATTAAATAAAATTTCTTCATATCTTTAATAATAACAATAATTTGTATATTTTATAAAAAAATAAATAAACACCTTATAGAATTTGTATACTTGTTTAAATTAAAATTTATTAATTGTAAATATATATGCTATTGTATATTTCATATAGATTGATGTGGTTTCTAATGTTACAAAATTAAACTGAGTTTTTTTTTTTTTGATATTATTCAATATAATTTCATTATATGAAGCGTAGTTATGTATAAGAAAAAATATATTTGAATTTATATTAAATAATTATTGCTATTAATTGTTTTAAATTTTTTATGATGATGAAACGATGGTTTCAGTTTCTTGTGGTTGGAAAGCAGCGCCGGTTGTATCAACTTCAACTTGATTGGTTGAACCGTTCTTCTTTAAATCGTGTTGGTGTTGTGGTTTTAATTGGCCAAAACCTTCACTGTAGTTTCCTTTTGAGAAGAATAATTTCTTGAAACATGGTTTGCAATAGGTTTTAGATTCCATTGAAGCAAAGTTACCTAATTTACAAGCTTGGTTACAGGTAGTGCAACGGAAACAAGCCTGTAAAAATAATTACATAAAAATTATAAAAGTTTAATTAGTAAAATGGAAATGTGTGAGTGGTAAAATAAAATGTATATATACCTTGTGGAAGATTCTTTCGTCAGCAGCTAATTTATCATTTGGATATACAGTTTTGACACAAACGACGCATTTTTCAGTTGATCCGAACTTTTTAACCATTTTAAAAAAATAAAAAGATAATTAATAAATTATTTGTGTTTTGTTTAATAAATAAATATAAAAATAAATGGAATCTACTTTTTTCATTTTAAATTTAAAAAATTTTATAATAAGAAATAAATTTAAAAAAATATAAAGAATACTGTGTGCAAATATAACCTCGATAAAGAATTTAGTTTTTTATTTTTTTTATAGTGTGGGTTGTTTATAAAAAAAAAAAAAAAAAAAAAAATTCAAAACATTTTTTTTGGGGGGAAAAAAAAAAAAAAACAAAAAAAAAAAAAATTAAAAAAACCTAAAAAAAATGGTATTTTTGGCTTTTAAAAAAATCTTTTTGAAAAAAAAAAAATGATTGAGCCGATTATATTGAGATTCACCCCAGCTACCCCCCACCAATACCCATGTAATTAAGTCTTAACTGCTACATACTTTTTTTTTATTTATAATATGATTATATAAATATCCTTTTTTTTTTTTTTTTTTCTCACCCAACTTTCACACACCAAACATTTTTTTATGCGATATTACAAAATAATATGTTTAATATTTTATTATATTGTTATTATTCATATTATTTTTATTATTTTTATTATTATTGTTTTATTTATTAAACACTCCCCACATTTTTAACACACTCACATTCAACAGTGTCCATTTACTCACACTCACACCCACACCCACACTCACACTCACCCTTTTACCACACTTCAAAACTACAAATTATAATATATTTTTTTTAATATGATTTTGTTTATCTCATCATAAGTTGGATCATATTATTTTTATTATCTCAGATAATAAAAGAATCGAACAAATCATATTTTTTTATTATATATAGATTTATAATTTATAACAACACATGAAATATTAACAAAATTTAATATTTTGTGTAACACCAACAATGAATTTAATTTAACAATATTTTTTATTTTTAATTATGATGCTAAATTGAGATATTGCAGTTATTGTCTATATGTATAATTTTAAAGTTATACAAATTCTAAAAACATTACACTTTTGAAGTGAATATTATATAAACAAGAAATAAATAAATAAAATGGTTTTTTTTTTTTTTTAAAAGTATAATATATTATGATATATATGTACAGAGTTTTATTAATTGTTTTTTTAAATATAGTTGTAATGTTATTATTTGATTGTTTGGTTATACTAGTTTTCAAAGGCAAAAAATTTCGAAGTATCTATTAAAGTAGAAGGTATTAGTTTAAATGTATGTCGATTTAGTTTTATGGTGATTTATAAATATGTGTTTTGGCAAAACTATATAGATATATAAATATATGAGGGTTATTAAAAAATTATTATTATATGTTGTTATTTTCAACTATATCAGAGAAATTTAAAAACATACCACCATCCTCTTCAGAAGTAGCAGCTTTAAAATTTGGAGAGTTGGTATTTAATGACGAGTTTTGAGATGCAAAGTTTGAATGTGATTGTTCAAAATTATTAAAATCTAAATAAATTTGTGTGTTGTTTTGGGAAGATTGTTGTGATACTTGAGACGATTGGTTATGTTGTTGTATGTGAAAGGATTGAGGTATTTGATTGTGTTGTTGGGAAATTTGAGAGGATTGATTATGTTGATGTTGATGTTGGTGTTGATTATGTTGATTTTGTTGTTGATGTTGTTGATTTTGTTGATTTTGTTGATTTTGTTGATTTTGTTGATTTTGTTGTTGCTGTTGTTGATGTTGATGCTGTTGTTGTTGTTGATTTTGTTGTTGGTGTAGTTGTTGGTGTAGTTGATGAATTGATTGGGTTGGTGTTGATGGCGGATGCATGCCAGTTTTTATATTGTTCTCAACCATATTATTGGTGGCAGGGTTTTGTTGTGATTGTTGGCTATTCGATGGAGATGATAATGGTGATTGTGGTGGTGGTGTACCATCTACTTGTGGTGATGGGACAGATTTAGAAAGGGTTCTTTTCGAAGAGGACTTAGAGTTTAAAATTTCATTTTCTGGTTGTTTTCTTTTCTTTGATTTTGAACTACCATTGCTTTTTTCTGGTGCTGTTGTTTCATTCTCTGAAGAGGTAGAACCCTTTTTAGTTGATCTACTCTTTGATTTTGAACTGCTGCTATTATTATTATTATTATTATTATTATTGTTATTATTATTATTATTATTATTATTATTTGTATTCGTATTATTTCCGCTTGCACTATTTGGTGTATTTGTACTATTAGAAATTGGGCTATTGGAGTTATTGGGAGGATTGTTGGTGTTGTTTATTTGTGGAGAGTTTAAATTACTATTATTGGTATTAGCACCATTTATTTGTGGGGATGGTAGACTACTTTGTGGAGAGTTTAAATTACTATTATTGGGTAGGTTGCTCATATTTACATTACCATTGTTTGGGTTTTGTTGATTAGTGTTTTGTTGTTGTTGTTGCTGTTGTTGTTGTTGCTGTTGTTGTTGTTGTACTTGTTGTTGATTCATACCAGGAAATGGGACATTTGGGGGAATAATGTGGCCTGGAACCATCATACCTGGTTGAGGTATATTGTTGTATGGGAAATTTGCCATATTTCCTCCTATGACACCATAGGGGTGTGGTCCCCACATATATCCACCTGGTGGTTGTGGTCTGTAGCCTTGTGGATATACACCTCCAGGTGCAATTTTTTGGAAAAGATGGGGTTGGTGGATTTGTGAATTATTCATTCCCATCATATTGTTTGGATTGGTAGGGAGATTATTATTGGCGTGGTTCATATTGCTTGCATTGTTATTAGGACTGTTGCTATTGTTACTATTGGTATTATTGTTATTAGTACCACCATTATTGCTACTGGTATTTGTATTATTGGGATTATTTATATTGCTATTATTATTGCTATTGTTACCATTGTTTTGTGTTGATGAGGTGGTTTGTGTTGGAGATGGAGGTGGTTGATTTTTATTTCTTTTGTCAATTTCTTCATTTTTAATATGTACAGGTGATGGAATGGGTTGTGAGTTATTCAGTTGATTATTTTGAAAATGGTTTTGTTGGCTTTGTTGATTTTGTTGGCTTTGTTGATTCTGTTGATTCTGTTGATTTTGTTGAAATTGCTGAAATTGATGGTAATGAGGTATTCCTTGGCCATGACCGTGTGGGGATGGTACAGGTCCTGTTTGATTTTGTTGTTGACCGTTACCATGTGGAGAGGGAATGGGGTGGAACTATTTCCACCACTGCTATAATATATATTATATATATATATGTATGTATTATATACTATACTATGTATTGTAGAATTCATGCTTGTGATTGAATTGGAAAGGAATGTTTT